GCCCACTGGCTGCGGTGCGGCAGGGCGGGCCCCACTCTGCGCGCCATTGGTGGCCGTCCCGGTCGTTTGCATACGGGGTGGGGCTGCGGGGCCCCGCCAGGGCCCGCCGGGGGCGCGAGGGTGGCCGCGGTTGCAGCTGAAGTTGGTCCGAGAACCCACGATGGCCCCGCGCTGGGGTCACAGGTGACGCGTAGGGGTCCCGGGCGGGCGGGCGGGCGGGGCGCACTTGCGAAGCCGTCCTCCGCCAGGGGCTGCGGGGGGCGGAGGCGGGGGCGGGAGGGCAGGGATGGAGTGGCTCTGACGCCCAAGTTGGAGGGGACAAGGCTGGGGGCGACCCCTTCACCACCCGCCCGCCCGCCGGGCCGCCCCTCCAGGCGCAGGGCAGCCACTGCCCACCGCACACTGCGCTGCTCCCAACCCACTGTGCGTGTGACAGCGGCTGATCTGTCCCTGGGCAGCGCCAGCCCTTGGCCCCTCGGTGGCCCTGGTCTGGCGGGCAGGCGGGTGGCCACACAGAGCAGAGGGTGCCTGCAGGCCCCGGAGGGAGCCATCCCATGGGCCGGCCTGCCGAAGCCGGGGTGGGGGACACTCTGGGATCCTCTGCCCTCCACGTGGGAGGACCGTGGCTGGGCCAGGTACCCTCTTGGAGAGAACTTTCCTATGTGTGCTCCAAGGTGCTAGGTTGTGCCCAGCCCTCAGGACCGCCTCCTCGAGATGACCCAGCCCAGGGAAGCCTGGGGCAAGCACAGGTGTTGTGATCTTCTGTGGGGGGTGGCGGGGGAAGACCTGCCTCCAGAGGGCCACCTCTGGGACTCCCGACAGGAAGACAGCCACCGGTCTATCTCCGTTTCTGCCACTTCTTACAAACAGTCAGGAGAGTGGGCCTGTTGGTCAGGTCCAGGAAAGGCCCCACGCATTAGTCCGCCATGGAAATGTGGACCAGGAGTGTGCCCAGAACCGCTCCTAAGAGGCCGGAACACCTGCAATAGGCCCTGTCCCGTCTGGGCAGGGCAGGTCCCTCTAGAGGGAGAGCAAGCACTCCGGAGGGACCCTGTGCTTTCACCACAGTAGTCACCCATAGCACGTTGTGCAGGTGAGGGGAAGCTGTGTGGCCTTGGGGCTGAGAACCTGCAGAACTATCTTACTCCCTTGGCTCCCCCTCTGGAGCCACTCTGTGGATAACCCTCAGTGAACTGGGGCTCTCCCGTCAGCTGGGCATGAGCAGGAACCATGAGAGCACCATCCACAGCACAGCCTGGCCCCGTTTGGCTGGACTGCCTGGTGGGGAGGATGGCAGTGACTGCCCCACGCCAATACCTGCAGGGCCCCATCACAGCTCACCAGGGAAGGTGACTCGCCTTCCAGGGGACTGTGGGATCTCAGCCTCTCCACACACCACATAGCTCACACTGTTGTCTTCAAAGTAAATTTTAAAACTCATAAGTAAACTTTGCAGCACCTGGAAGTTTTGCTTCATGACCCAAAGCACTCTGGGAACTTTTGCAGGGCATGGGGCTCTTTCTACCTGGAACAACTGTGGAAGTGAAGAGCTCTACCCTGTCCCCAGTAGAGCACAGTGCCAGTGGGAAGCTTTTTCAGAGCCTAACAGCCTGCACAGTGGCTTTAGAACAAACAGGTGTCCCTCAGGAGATAGGCAGGGGTGGGCAGCACAGTGGCACAGCATCTGCCTGGCAAGCACAAGGTCCTGAATTTGATTCCCGGTACAAAAAAAAAAAAAAAAAAAGAGTGTGTGTGATGTGTGCTGGCTTGGGAACATGGGAGCTCAGGTGTGGAGTCCATGGTCTGGGGCTCCTGGTCCCCTCTGATAAGAGTTTCTGGGTGGCACCAGCCATGGCCCCTGCTGGCCTTTGCCCTTAGCTGGGTCAGGACGAGTGCCGAGGTGCATCCAGCCCTCCTGAGTGTGGTCAGGGAGTGTAGTGAGGGGAGCAGACCCCTAGGTCCCAGCCCTCTCACCTAGGGTGGTTCCCAGCTGGTCTTTGCACTTGAGGCTCCATGCCGCTTGTGTCTGTGGTCCACCAGTCTGCAGCCATGGGTGTAGACTGCAGCAGGCTTGTGGGTGGTGCAGAGAGGAGTCAGCAGGGCTTTCTGGCTGTGGACACCAGGTCGGAAGCCTCCTGCTGCCCAGCCTCCAGCATTCTCAACTCCCGGCCTCAGGCAGGAAATATGCAGTTCTGCTTGCTCCACATAGCAGCGGACTCCCAAAGGCCTTGGCCTCTAAGGAGCCCTCCCTGGCACCCATGGGTGGCCTTCTTGCTATTCCCACTCAGGACTTCAATTTTCCCTGCTGCCTCACCCAGGAGAAGTGGCACACACCAGACCCAGCTCAGGAGTCCATCCCAAATATGCCTTTTCCTTGATTCCAGCAAAAGGACCCCATGATCTAGGGCAGCGATGGTGAACCTTTTAGAGCTTTCAATGATAAACAGCCTGCTGTAGCATGCATACCATAGTCCAGGATGACCCCATCCCATCCACCAATACCACCCATGGCTGCTGTACAGGGCCCCAGATTCTGCTTATCACCGAGATCTCCAGCTTCTCAGAGCTGGGAGCATGAAGTCCACCTCAGGATCTGGGCTCTGGGAGAGGCCACGGCCAGTCCAAGGGCCCAGACAGTGGCTGAGCTGGGCTAGGGAATCCACGCTGTGCTGGCTTCAAAGCTGCTGCCTCACAGCAAAGGCTTCATACTAACTCAGGGAAAAGAAAAACAGGCCCTCTTTACACCTTGCCATACTTCCCCCAGGAAGCTATGTTCCTCTGGGGTAAGCTCCTGGATCTGACTGAGAAGACCAGGACTCGCCACCACAAGTTCTCTGGAAGACAGTAAACCTGATGGGCGGGTCTGGCTTGTCCTGGCATCCTGGGTTCCTGCAGCTGGTCAGGTACACACTAAACGAGGGGGAGCCAGGTGGGAGAAGGGTCCAAACAGAAACCCAAGCCAGGGCAGAGCCAGTAAGCAGGGTACTACAAAGGCAGGAGAATAAAGTAGCCTTGGACCCTACTGTGTAGTGGTCCCTGAAATACTCTTCCTACTTGAGTAGCTCAGAGTATTCCCCAGTCGCCCCGACATGAATCTTGCAGCATCAAGACACACTCGAGCCACTATGGGCAGTTTATTGAGGGTCATGGTAAGGGTAGGTGAGGCAGCACACACACCCATAAGCCAAGTTCCCTGTCCATGCACCTCCCATCCCCAGTAGCAATAGTGGCCTCGGGCCTACTGAGTTCTGAGCTATGTTCTCCACTTCTCCAGGGGTTTGTCAGACTTGGTAAGGACTAGGACAAACACCCCACCCCCCACTGAAGCACAAACTCCAGGCACCAGAGGCTTCCCCTCCATGAGAAAGGGATCTGTGATCAGACTCCTGTTGTCCTTGCGGCTTGTCCGACTGCCCTGGCTCGTCTGTCTTCCACGGCACTTCCATGACACCGGTCAGGGGCAGGAGCTGCTACCTCCAGCTCTGCCTCAGGGTAGCAACTGCAGGGAAGACACAGGCTGAGGAGCCTGAGCTTCGGAGGGCCCATGCCATCGGGTGGGGGACAGACCTACCCTCCAGGCTCAGGGTGGGCACTGGGACTGGGCTCTGGGGGGCTCCCTGGAGGGCGTCTTCTCCAGGTGAAGGCAGAAGGTCCTGTGGAGAGCAAATGTCAGCTGGGTGGCAGGACCGCTACCTTCCCACCTTTCCCAGAACTGCTCTGACCTGTGTGCCAGAAGGGGCTCTGTCTGGCTGTGGTGGTGGCGGCATCGCAGCTCCTGTCTGCTGGATAAACTGCTGCAGGTTGCACTGACGCAATTCCCGGTTCAGTTCCTCCAGCTCTTGTGCCTGAGCCTGGGGCACACAGGACCCTCAGGGGGCAAGGCCACTGGCCCTGTGGCCTTCATGCCCTACAAGGCACTCTCCCTCCTCTGATCCTGTGTCGGACCCCAGGTCTCAGCTATCCAGGGTGGTGAGGTGGCATGGGCTGGGGTCCCCTGGGCTCACCTGCAGTGCATGCTCAGCTGCTTCCAGAGCCCGGCTCACCAGGGCCAGGCTGCCCTGCATTTCCACGCTCTGCCGCTCCTGGACAGCTAGGTCTTGGCGTAGGCGCTCAGTGGCAGACAGTGTGGCAGAAGGGGGGCCAGGGGCCTCAGCAGCCAGCAGCAGCTCAGCCTCCAGGGCACGGGCCTGTGCGTCCAGGGCCTGCAACTGGGCAGCATGCTCTGCAGTGGCTGCACTCAGCGCCTGCAGACGTGCCTGCCCCTCTCGTTCCCTGGCTTCTTCCCACCTTAGCTCCTGCTCCCAGAAGGCCTCATGGCCCAGCTCCTCTGCATTCCTCTGTACCCTGAGCTCCATGCCCGGTAGGTCTTCCAAGCAGCCTAGGTTGGGTGCTCCAGGGGCTAGAGGTTCATAAGATGAGGGGCTGGGGGCCAGCCTGGGACACCCCAGTGCTCTGTGGGACTCCCGGCCTAGTGCTGCCCGTGGTTTGGGGGGCAGGCTGGCACGAACTGGGCATCGTTCTGGGGGTGGACAGCTGTCAGAGGAGGGCCTTCCAGCCAGGCTGGGCCCTGTCCGCCTCAGGACAAACTGGACGTCATTGGCGAATTGCCCACAGGTGGCCTGGGCATCTACTGGACACTCTTGTGGCAACAGCTGACGTTCCTTCTCCTTAAGACGCTGCACAAGCACAAAGCGACCTGTCTGGCCTGAGGGAGAATGAAGAGGTCAACTGGAAACGGGGCAGCCTCACCCCAGCCCCACCTGTTGGGCCCATCAGCAACCAGGGGACTTACCTATGGCTTGGGCTAATGCAATGACCACTTCCTGGCAGGTGGTCTGCTCTGAGACCCCACAGACTACCCGCTGAACGCCATCCACCCATACCTTCAGCTCCATGGTGGACAGCCCCAGAACCATCCCGTTCCTGTGAGGAGACAGGCCACAGGTCAGGTTCTGCCTGGCCGTCCCTTCCTACCCCTGCTCAACTGCCCCCACTGGCTCAGTTTCGGCCTCTCAGCGACCGGTCCTGGCCTCCCGGGCCCAGCCCCACCCCGGAGGCCGCGCATTCCTGGGGTGGCCAGGGAACTAGTTTGGCCCTAGCTTCCCCACTTCACCCGCCCCCACACTGGAATGAGGCGAATCATTAACCAGGTCCAGGATTTCCTGTTTGCCCGCCACCTCCTGCGCCACCTGGCTCAGAGGGCACTGCCCCTTCCCGCGGGCGGCCATCCCAAGCGCACAAGGGCGCTCGCACAAACACGACGCCGTCCGCTGCCAAGGGAACGCCTCCACCCGAAAGGGACCTTCTTTGGCCCCAGAGCAGCCGTGTCACGACCCAGACCTGATCTTCATACCTGAACCCCAGGCCTGGCAGCCCCGCTGGCCTGGGCAGCCCCCAGCCCGGCTCGAAGCTCCTCCCGCCTGGGGAGTGCGCTAGCCCCGGAAGTCAGCGCCCGCGCTGAGACCCCCGGCCGCAAGGGACCCCGGGTCCTCGCTCGGCGGCAGGCCGTTGCAGGTGCGCGTAGCCAGCCCGTCCAGCTCCGCGGAAGACTGATCGGCAGGAGCCGGCACCCTGGACAGCCGGTGGGCCTGGCCAGCTCACCTGGCCCGTCTCCGGTCTCCAGCACTGGGCGCTCCGGCCCAGACAACCTGCCGCCCTAGCGCCCGGCGCGCCCCAGCCCTAGCGCCTCATTGGCCCCCGGCCCGCAGGCCCCGCCCTAGAGCGCCCCAATTAGCCCTATGGCGCGGGCCTCCAGCTTCACGACCACGCCCATTGGCTGCCTCCTTCCGCCCCGCCCCATTGGTTTGCCTCTCCGCGGCGCCCAGGTGTGGGCGGGGCCTGTCTCGGGGGCGGGACCCGAGAAGGCCGCGCTCCGCCCCGAAACAGGGCGGAAGAGCGGCTACAGCTGTGGTCCGCGCGCGGCGGGGTGCTACAGGTGTGTGGCCCCACTCCCGGGCCGACTTCCTTTGCAGCCTTCCAGTGTGACCGTCCCGGACCTGGGGAGGGGCGCCGGCCCCTATCCCGCATCCCTGGCCTGCGTCCATGGGGCTGCGGCGCCGAAGTCTCCCTTCCTTCCTGACCCCTCCCCACCCTGCTCCCAGGGGCTAGGCCCCTCTGACCTTGTTCCCGTAGAGCCGCTGGCCGGGGGCACGGGTTTGGGTGACAGTGAGCATCCCGCGGGGAGGCAGAGCGATGAGGACCCACAGAGCTCCTGGGCTGGAGGTAGTGGGCGCTGGAGCCCTGCTGGTGGGGGGGCGCCCCGAGGCTACGGGGACCAAGCTCCAGGCTCTTTGAGAAGCCCTTCTGAACTATGGCGCCCAGGCCCAGGCCTTCGACTGGCCAAGTGGGTTGGAGTCCCTCCCCCACCCCCGTTTTGTCCGGAGGGAGAAACTCAAGCCCACCCGGAGAGCTTGAGGTGGGTGGGGGGCCCTGCCTGCCCAGGCACAGAGGTGGAAGGTGTGAGTGATCGTGACAGGTGGCACAGGCTGGCGTGCTCCACATTGTCATGGGCAGAGGGAATGAATGTCCCCTGGGCTCTGAGGTGGGTCTCTACTGCCCAGGGGCTGTGGAAATGGGCTGGAGAAGTTTGAGTGCCAGCCTCTGAGGTCTCCAGGGTTCAGCACCACTCCTTGTTTTGTTTCTCATCACCAGTTTCAGTTCCCCCAAGTCAGCTCAGGACCCCACTCCCTGCCATCTTGGGACAGCCCCCGCAGCCACTCTGGGCTCCCCACAGGACACTAGTGCCCCAAATACCCACAGATCAAGACGGCTAGGCCAGGGCTACAGGATCCTGTGTGGGGTCTCCCTGGAGTCTGCTGGTAATAAACGGCCCCTCCCCTCCTGGGTGTCTGTAGCCAGGGCAACAGTATAGAACGCTTCCCTCCTCAGGCCTGCTAGGAGGTCAGGCCTCAGGTGAGCTGCAGCGGGTGAGGCCCTGGGTTGTGGGGGGCACAAGTAAGGGTCAGAGACACAGGGCAGCACCTCTGACCCTTGTCTAGGCTGGACAGAGGGCATAAAGAAGACAGCAGAGAAAGTGGGCACGCTGGGGGTCACGTATGGCCGGCAGTCCCAGGTCCTGGCCATCTCCTTGGGCCTTCTCAGAGAAGGACCCCTGTGACCTGGCTGTGCTGCCTAGTCTTCTCTGACAGAGGAGAACCCGATGGCATCTGGGATGCAGGGCAGACTTGGCCCTGCCGCCCCTCCCAGCTCCCCACAAACTTCTAGTATGGCCCCTGAGCCTGGCCAGGCGTCTGAAGAGGAACAGGTGCTCCTGGCCCTAGCAGGAGAAGAGCCAGCAGGCAATGACTCAAGGCCTCCAGCCACCATACCTACAGACACCATGGCTTCCTTGTGCTCCGGAAATACCTGGCCCCCTTCCACAGGGGCGGACCCAAGCAGCACACAGTAAGAAGAGGAGGGTGGGTGGCCAGCCTCCTGAGCTGGGCCATCCAGAGGGCCAGGCCTGATGGTGCAGTGGGTGTGCTGGTTCTGTAGGTTGGGCCCTGAAGCCCTGGACCCCTGTACCTTACGGCTGCTGTGGGAGCAGCGAGAACTGGAGATCCAGGCCCTGCGTTGGGCCGTCCGGCACGGCCAGCATGCCCGGCACCAGTACATCCTGCAGGAGGTGGCAGGACTCCCACCTGAGAGGTCAGCCCAACTCAGCTGCTGGCCTGCTGTGACAAATGAGCCAGCCCTCACCCTGACCTTGGTCTCTAGTTCTAGGCCTCACCTGCCCCAGTGTTTCAACCTAACCCTGAGTTAGCTACCCAGCTAGAAACCAACCCTAACTGGGCATACCGACCCCTGCCCAGACATGCCAGGCCTGATCTGCCCTGGCCTGCTGCACTGCACCCCAGCAGGTGATGGCCGTGGGCCCTTCCTCTACTGCTGACCTAGAGGTGGGCATAACCAAGGTTGCTCCTCCTCCCAGGAGCTCCCACAGTCAGGATGCATTCCTGCAGAACCAGGTCCAAAAGCTGACTCTGGAGCTGAGAGCACAAAAGGAACAAGCCCAACTGGTGAGGGTGTAGGATGGGAGCTGGGCAGGGCCCAAGGGAGGGGACACCCTCACTCCCAGCGACTCCTGCCCAGGAGAGGGAGCGCTTGGAGGCCCAGCTGGCACAGACCACAGACAAGCTGCAGCAGCTGGAGGCTGAGCTGCAGGCCTTCCAGAAGTCCTGCCTCCTGCATCTGGCCCAGTCCTCCTGGGTAGGGCGCATCCTGCGGTCACAGACTGGCAGTGTGGAGGTGAGCCCATGCCCTGGCCAGCTGCCCTCTGCCTCCTCTGCATCTCTCCCCAACCCTCCCTGGACCTCCCTAGGGCAGCCATTGGCCCTCATCTAAGCAGGTGTCTCTTCAGGCTCCTAGGCAGCCCGAGAATCTTCTGGCCTACTGCCCCACCCACCCAACACAAATTGCTGGGAAGGTGAGGAGGGAAGGGTATGGAAGGCAGCAGTGCCTTCCCACCAGCCCCCTGCCCACTGGCCTGTGGGCCCTTCTGTAGGTGATCACTGCAGAGACTCTAATAGAGTCCGGGGACTCCTCTGAGGACAGTCAGGAGCCCACTGCTGGGGAGGTGAGCAAAGTGTCCCCCACACCTGACTGGGCCTGTGGGTCCTGCAGACAAGTAGAGTGTGTACCTATTGCATTCTGGCCAGGGCTTCCGGCTGGAGGATGTGGATTGGAACAGCATTGCTCAGCGGTACCCCAACCTCCTCAGCAGCATCCATTCCAGCTTAGATCGAAAGTAACTGTGCGGGGCAGGAAGCCTGGCGGGGGCGCGGGGAGGGGGCGTGCCTTGGCAGAAGTGGGCCAGGGCTCAGTTCTGTCCTTCAGTGTCCCCAGAGGGGTCACCAAACTCCTCCCTCCTTGGCTCTGACCTGTAGAATGGTGAGGGGAAAGGAAGGGGCTTTTGGGCTGTCAGCCCTGCTAGCAGTGGGATCTGTGTTCTGGGTATGTGGGAGCACAGTTGCCCAGGGCTGGGCCTGGGAGCCAGGGCAGCCAGTGAGCAGAGCATGGCCCCAGGCAGCCCCAGCTGCCCTCAGAGCTGGACTCGCCGGGCTCAGACTCCCCCCGAAAGTTTGTGGAGAGGCAGCACAAGAGCCTGGAGTGGAGCACTCTGCCCTGCGCAGGCACCAGTAGCTCTGGGGGTGCCGACTTGGACTCCAGCAGCTGCCAGCTGTTCCTGCATCCCCGGGTGCAGAGGGTGATAGGGCACCCACCACCAGCAGCAGACACAGCCTCCTGCGAGCAGAGAGCTGTGTTGGCAAAGAGATTCAGCAGAGACTCTGAAGGTGGGCTGTGGGGGCCTCCTCATCTCCCCCTCTCTACCCAGAGCCCTAAATCAGGTCCTTCAGCCCCCAGGGTCCTGCCCCTTCCCTCTCAGCAGCCCTGCTCTGGTCTCCCAGGAGACATCCCAGTTCGATGCTAGGTGGTTGACCCCCTTTCTGAAAGGCTACCCCCGCTAGATATCCAGAGATCTGGTTCCTACCCGTTCGGCCAGACCTCGCCGGAGCCCCTCGCAGACCTCTGCCACCCTGGCACCGGGCACACGGCGAGGTGAGGGGCGGCCCAGCTGGACCCGGGCAGGACGGTGGGCGGGCAGGCGTCCGGGAGCCTGGCGTCTGCACAGCGCCTGTCCCCGCCTCAGCCCGCCCGGCAGCATCCTGCAGATCGTGGCTGTGAGCCGCCGGGAGAAGTTCGTGCGCATCCTCAACCGCTCGTCGCAGGACACCGCAGACCTGGGCGGCTTGGTGTTGCAGCAGAGGGTGCGCGACTGCCCGGTGCGCATGTTCCGTTTCCCGCGAGGCACGGTGCTGGAGCCGCAGCACCACCTCACGGTGCGCCCGCGCGCCCCGCCCCTCCCAGCCCTCCCAACCTTCCCCGCCTCCAGCGCACCGGGCCTCACCCTGCACCCGCCGTTCCAGGTGTGGGGCGAAGGCACTGGCGGCGTCCAGCAGCATCAGCCCTTTTCCTCCGGCCAGGACCCCCTCCAATTTCACTGCGGCCGGGGCTGCGTGACGCTCCTCCTGGACACCGAGGGCCAGGTCAGGATCGTGGCCCCCTGGGGGGCGGCTGCCAGCCCGGCGGGAGTGGGTGGCTGACACACTGCTGTGGCCTGCAGGTCCTCAGTGAGTACCAGGCACCACTCCGTGTGACCTCCGGCTCGAGCGTCTTCGCGGACAACACCGACTGGTCCATTGACCGCTTCCCGCTCCCCGAGGCCGGGGCTGGAGCTGACGCCGGGGAGCCCCAGCGCCGACCTCGGCCCCCGAGCCAGGGCCGGGTGCAGGAGACCAGAGCCGGGCGCCGGAGGCGGGGGTGGGCACCATAAGCCCTTTTCCGGATGCCCTGCCTGGGGGCCCCCGGGATCCCCACTCACACCCGTTCGCCTGCCTGACAGGACGCGGCGCCTCAGGCCACTCCTGAGTCCCCAGAAGCCTGTCCACCCGCGGGAAGAGCCAACGCGGCTCGAGGGAGCCAAGCCCCCGACGATGCCAGACCCCCTGCCTGCCATCCCGGGTGAGCGCGGGTGCCAGGTGCGGGGGCGCGAGGGCCAGGGCGCAGTGAGCCTGACCCCCTCCCCTCCTGGCAGAGACGGCGCGGGACCTGGAGCGCGGCGTGCCCGGGCGGGAGCGCAGGGTCTGCGTGAGTGCGCGCCCCGACCCTAGCCCTGGCTCGCCCCACCCGCCCGCAGTGCCGCGGGCCAGCGCACTCAGGGCTTGGCTGCCCCACGCAGGTGTGTCGGAGGGGCGTGGACCGGGGCTGCCCCATGGTGGCGCTGTCGGTGCAGAGCACGGCGGAGAGCCGGTTCGGCTTCCGCTTCCTCTGCTGCCCGCCCATAACCGCGGATGCGCACCAGTGCCTGCGGCGGGCGTAGACCACCCAGGGATCCGGCTGCATCATTTATTGACCAACGTGGTCCGCAAAGTAAACCGCATTCTGCACCCGAGAGTTGAAATGATTCACCTGGTTGCTGGGGCACCTGCCCCAAGAGGAGGAACAGCACCCTGCCCTTGCGTGGGGAGCCCTACATATCCACCAGGATGGGAGGCCAGGTGGGATTAGCGGCTTGGAACCTGGGCCCCTGGAAAGCCCAGGCCAGCTCCAGCCACCTGGCCCAGGCCTGCCCGGCTGACTATTCCCAGGAAGGCCAGGACCCAGGGGAGGTACCTACCCTGACTCTCATCCACCCAGAGGGATCTTTCCAGGGTCAGGCCCACCTCCCACCCTCCCAGCCCAAGTGCTCTGGGCCTATGGGATCAAGGGCCCTCAGGGGCTCCCAAGATGCCAGGCGTTCCCACTGGGCACTGTCCAGGCAAGCCCAGCAGTGGTGGGCTTTTCACCGAGGGTGGGGATGGACTGGGGTGAAGGGCTCAGGTACCACAGGTAGCAGAGGGCTGGGGGTCTGGCTGCTGGATCCAGGGCTGGCTTTGGTTCCGGATGTCACTGGGCTCAAGGTTGGGACCTGAGGCCCCCTCTAGGGCTTTCAGGGTGGTCACTGGGGCCACCCCCTTGCTCAGGCCAGGCCCCAGGCTGCCCAGGGATCTGAGCCTCCGTCTTCTGACCCGTAGGTCAGCAGAGCCCCGAGGGGAGCTGCTGGCTGAATCAGGTGGCATTGGGTCCTTGGGCGGAGAAGGGACCAGGTGACCACCCAGCGTCCTCGAAGGCTCTGGAAAGCAGAAGAGAGCATATCACAGAGGCCCCGACAGACACAGGGTCTCCAGGTGGAAGGTCCCTTTCCATCATGGTTTTCCAGCCTGGGGGTGGTGGCCAGCTGGGGGGAGTAGTGTCAATGCCAGAGGGGGCTTCAGTGTCTGCTGTAGCCCTCCAGGTGGCAGCAGCCTTGCTCCCCAGGCCTACTCCCTGTACTCCCCAGAGGGGCTGTGGCCCCTGGATCTTGAATGCTGACTGTTGCTTGGGCTGGCCACTTCCAGGGCAGATGGAGGCCTGAAGGCTCAGACCCTGGCTCTGGGTCAATGGGATCCCATCCCTGAGAGCTTGCTTGAAGGCTGAGCGCTCCAGACCCTCTGCTACAATGAGACAGCTGGTCCAGGTCACCCAGGGCCTTGCTGGACCTGGCACCTGGAACAGGAGGCCTTTTCCAGAGTGTCCTTGCCTTGTCATCACTCCAGCCACCCCTCTCCCTGGCCATCTGCCTGCTGTCCACCCACTCCTGCAATCTTCGTCCACAGGTGGGTGCTGGTGGCCACTCATGGTTTTCTTAGCCACATTTGTTGGCTTAGTGTTGGGACTTAGTCCCTATTCTTGTTGCCCTCCCTGCAGCATCTCTCCCTAGGCTTCTCTGCCATACTGGGCCAGGGTCTTTCTGCCTCCCAGCTGTGGCCACCCAGGCCAGTGTCTCTTAAAAGGGCCCTGCTTGGCTTGATCCTAGATCCTTGAGTCAGGCACAGGTCCTTCCTTCTTCTCTTAGTGAACCTAATCATCTCCTGTCTTCTGCCCCAAGAACTGGGCACATCAGCAGGGATGTGGGGTTAGCCCCCTACCACCAGAGGAGCACTGGATGTCACAGCCCTTCTGAGTTGGGAGATGGGCTTGGGGCTCCTGTCTCCAGGTGGGGGGATGTACCTGAGGTCAGGCCTGGGGAACCCAGGGAAGGCCTAGGCCCAGCCTGGTCCTCTTGCTGTTCAGGAAGTTTCCAAGGATCCTGGGGGGTTGCAGCCCCTTCCTGCTGGGACCCCAGTGGCCTGCGGGAGAAGGGGCAGCTAAGGCCCAGCCTTACACACTGACATTGGCCTTTTCCACCAGCCTGGGGTCCCACCACCAGCTCCTCTGGTCCCCCTGAGACAGGTGGCCCCTCAGCCAAGGCTCCCCCAGCCCCAAGCCCCCCAAGCCAGATGGGACACACTGTAGCAGGGCTCAAGAGGAGGGCACCCACCGCAGGCCAAGCTCTCTCCAGGCTGGAAGCCCAGCCACCACCAGATCACGGCTGTCTGTGGAATCAGGCCTGAGGGCAGGGGGGGCGGCAGCCAGACCTGGTCTAGGGGGTGCCAGCTGCTCCAGAGGCGCCCAGGCCTGGGGAGGAAGAGGACTGAGGTGGTGACCTTGGCTGGAATGGCTGTAGAACAGGGCACTGCCACACCAGTGCCCCCAGATGCTGGTTCCCCTGCAGAGGAAAGGCCTGGGTGCCAGTCCTTCCTCTACGCTAGAGTCCTGGCCCACTTAGGGATAGGGGCAAACATACCTGGCACTGGTACCTGCGCTCCCGCAGGCCTTTGGTGGGGTTTCCACAGAGGACCTGAGCAGCGCCTGAGGAACAGCATGTGGCTGAGCCTGGCCTGGGGTTGGGCCTGCAGAGTCAGTCAGGCATGGGGTGGGTCATTTACCATGGGTGAGGTTGCTGGCGTGGTCTTCAGGGGCCGGGTCCTCAGAGAGCAAGCCTTCAGGCCGGGGTCCTCCAGGGCCCAGCAGGGACAAGATCCAGGGCAGGGCCTCAGGCATGGTCAGCGCTGGATCATGTTTCTGCAGGGTGGCTCCATGAGTGTGGTCTGGCCAGGGTTAAAACCAGAGATCAGGCCAGCCCCAGATTTGTCCCAAGAGCATAACCTTGCCACCAAGAAGCAGTGTGGCTCAAAGCTGGCCTCTAGCCAGGTGTGGTGTTGTACACCTATAATCTCAGCACTCAGGAGGCTGAGGCCGGAGGATTGCTGTGAGTTTGAGGCCAGACTGGGCTACATAATGAACTTAAGGCCAGCTTGAACTAAAAAATAAATAAATAAATAATAAATAAATAAAAAGGCTGGCTTCTAACAGCCTTTTCCCTTCCAGAGAGATCCTCAGCCCAGATCCTCCTCTCTCTGCAGACCAAAGGGGGAAGCCTAGGTGCTGCTCACAGGGTCAGCATCCCGGCCAGGGGCAGGGTATGAGGGGCAGCCACGCTCCCTGGAGAGGCCTGGGGGCTGGGGTTGGGGCTCTCCCTCCTAGGGGCCAGGGCCACGTCTCTTCCAGGGTGGGGTGCTGGGACAGTGGCCAGGTTTCCAGGTGGGTGTCTGCCCTACCCAGTGGGGGAAGGGTACTGTCCAGCATGCTGCCTTCCTTGATGGCCTCTTTCACCATGAGCCAGTCCTGGCTCAGCTCCTGGGGCACAGGCAGGTCCATGCATGTGGTGGGCACCTCATCCAGGATGCGCAGCTGGGGGATGAGTTTCTTCACTTCTGCTCTGTAGTTGTAGCTCCGAGGGGCCTGCAGTGAAGAGGGAGAGGCAGTGGGCCTGGTCCCCTAGGCTTGGTCCCCTGGGCCTGCTGGGTCCTGGTCTTCCTCACTCAGCCCTGCCCCGGCCCATGGGACAAGTGGCCTCTCCGGTCTCTGGCCCTGGCCTGGATTCAGGGATGCCCTCTGGCCAGTGGGACTGCCCTGAGTTCAGGGTCAGGCCCAGCAGTGTGGCCCCTCTGCCTTGGGTGGGTGCTGAACCTGGCACAGGTGTCCCCAGGTGTGAGTACAGGCCACACCTGGCCATGTGGGGCAGGGGCCCATATTCTGCAGGGTGCCTGGGTGACAGCCCCAAGCAGGGTACACACAGGCTGATGTGTGAGTGCATCCCAGCCAGCACACAGGCCTGCACGGGCCAACGTGGCCCTGGGCGGGACTGTGTGGCTGTGCGGATGCACACACATGCGTGTATGTGCTTAGACCATGTGTGTGCTTCTGTGGAGACTCAGCTAGGCAGGCACGGTTTTCAGTGCCGGGCCTCCCGGGGAACAGCATGGGATAAAGGCGACATGTGCACCTGTGTCTGTGGGGCTTATCAGGCTGGTTGCGGTGGACACACTGGCAATGGGCCTCCAGGTTGAGCTCACAGTGGGTGCACCTGGGGTCGGGTGCCCCCCAGCACATGCTGCTTGGGTGCCCAGCTCCCACACCTTGTTGGCTGGGCCAGCGGCTGGCTGCAGGCACACCATGTTGCCCTCCAGGGTGAGTGTGGCCAACCGTGGGCACAGCTGCAGGTAGCGCACCTGCCCCAGGTCCTCCAGGCTGTTGCCTTCAAGGTCCAGCACCTCCAGCTGGTCGAGCAGGCACAGTGGACTCAGGTCAGAGATGTCATTGTAGGAGACATAGAGCTCCTGGGGACAGAGGGGTCTCAGTGGCTGCCTGGCCACCCTTGTGCCCTGCCCCAGGGGCTGCAGACCCACCTTCAGCACCGGGAAGGAGCCAATGCCGTCCAGGTCAGCGAGACCACAGCGAGCTAGCCACAGCACCTGCAGGTGGCCAAGAGAGGTGCCCAGGTCTCTGTGGAAGGGGCAGCAGGTTAGTGCCGCCCTGGGGCAGGGCTCACTGTGTCTGACTGCCTCCAGGTGTGAGAAGGGGACCCAGTCCCTCCCTGCTGCAGCCTCCTAGTCTGGCTGCTGATAGAGGATCCCCAATCCTCCAATGCTGGGCGGCTTTGGGCTGGTCCTAGCCCCACAGAGCTGCCTTTACCCTGGGTAACCTGGTCCAGCCCAACCTACTGTCTACCACCATGCTTCCCTGCCTGGCTCCTGCTGCAGCTGCAGGACACCCCTGTACCCCACAGCTGGCTTCCTCACAGCCGGCACTTAGTGCTTAGGCGCCTATGAATTCCTCCGCGCTGTTTGCCTCCAGCTCACAACCCGCTTTGCTTATTTCTCAGCCACTCATCCACCTCTGCCTGGCAGGGTCCTGCTGCTGCTCCTGGCAGGGGTTTGTGTCCAGGGATCCCTCCAGGTGGCTCATGGGAACTCTTCTATCTCTAGCTTCTCACAGATGTCTGTAGCCTCTGCTCATGTGGCTGTCTGTGGGGCTTTTGCCATCTCCCTACTAGGCACTGCTCCCCTGACTTCTGGCTTCAAGTGTGTGAGTGGAGAAGTCTGAGGAAAGTGTTGCTTTTTTATCCTTAAAAGCCAACTTGGGCTGGGCGCAGCTACTCGCCTGTTATGCCATCTATTCAGGAGGCTGGGGCAGGAAGAGCAAAAGTCTGAGGTCAGCCTGGGAAAGTTAGTGAAACTTTCCCTCAGAATAAAGGAAAAAGGGCTGGGATGTAGCTCAGTGGTAGAGTGCTTCCCTAGCACATACGAAGACCTGGGTCCAGTCCCTAGTACTGAAAAGAAAAAACCCAGCTTGACCTCTTTTCCTGGCTGCTCACATTTTTGTTCTGACCTGGAAGTCAGGACCTTCATCAGGATGGGCTGGGCGGGTGCTAGGGCTCAGTGCTGCCTGTTTGCAGATGTAAGGCTTCTTTTTCTTCTGACATGCCTCCTTTAGTCTGTTCTATTATTTTAGTGGTTCTCCTCAACTCCGCTCGTGGTCTTGTCTGTCCGTCCCTCCTTCCTGTCTTCTGAGGCTGCCCTTACACTCCTGCAGCACTGCCTTCAGAGCTGTCCTTGTCCCCATCATGGCGTGCTCTGCAGTCCATTCCTTTCCAGAGCTCACCCTGTGGCCCACAGCAGGTGCGGATGGGCCCTGACACAAGGAAGTCCTGCAGCCTCCAAATCTATGGGGGTGCACAGGCCCAGCCAGGTGGGGACCCTCTTGTCACAGGGGTGTAAATATCAGGGCATGGCCTGTAGATGCTCCAGGCCTCAGAACAGAGGGGAGATTAACAGGAAGATTACAAAATTCTTAGACAAAAAGCTAGTGACAAAAAACAAAATATACCGCATGGAATTGGACCTGAAGCTACACATGAAGAGAAATCGAGGTTTTAAATGGATTTATCAAACTCTGTGTTAGGGCTGTGTCTAGATGTCCTCCCCAAAGCCTCATGTGGTTATAGGTGGGGCTTCTCAGAGGTGGCTGGATCTACAGTGTGTGACACTGGGATTGATTCATGATGCAGTGCTAGGATCAGGGTGTGAGTGCTACCCACCCGAAGTAGCCTGGATAAGATACAAGGCACAAGAAGAGGCTTGTTGATAGTCAGTTGCTGCTTTTGCTGTCTTCTACCCACCATAGACTGTTTCTCCTCTGCGATGCCCCCTGCCCTGGAGGCAGCCAACTATGAACTGAACCCTCTAAAAACTGTGAGCTAAATAAACCTTTCCCCCTTTAACTTTGGGTGTTGGAGATTTTGCCTCAGCAATGAGAAAAGTAACTAAGATGCTCTAGAAGGGTTAGAACAACTGAGCCAAGCATTTAGCTCAAGGAGCCAGAAAAAGAACAAATGCAACAGGAAGACCAAGAAAGAGGGGTGACGAAGAGGAGGAAGAAGTGGTGGCTGAGGAGAAGCCTACCAGATCCCAGGATTGCCTCTCCTGGTAGACAGCGCTCTGCAGGGCATCAGGGACTTGTGGAGAGACGAACGATGCCAAGACACACATGGAATTTAAAAAGAGCAATAACAGTGGGCACAGCAGCAGTGTACCTTAACAGAAGACCACTCAGCGTAAAGTACCCACTGACAGTTTTGGAACCAGCCAAAGTTAGCACTGACAAAAATAGAAAACTTGACTGATAGTTGTCCAGAAATCTCCAGATTGGAACCACTCTTTAAGAAATGTTCTGCTAGCGTGGTGGTAATGGTCACCTATAATCCCAACTACTCAGGAGGCTGAGGCAGGAGGATCTACACACGGAAGGAAGCTTTGCAGTGGGTGGGCTAGAGGCCTGCAGAGTCAAGAGAGGCCACAGGTGGATGGAAGAAAGGTAAGGTTCTCTGTGGCTGAGGTGGGGGGCATCTTTCCCATGACCTGCAAAGCACTGGTTGGAACTGATCCAGGGGAGCAAAGACAAACAAAGGGTTTGGGTGAAAGTGCCCAGGCCATGGGTGCCAAGTGTAAAGTACACCTAGGCTGGTCAAAGACATCCTGGAAACCAACAGGAAGAGGACAGAAGCCACCTGGACAGTTAGCACAGGGAAGGGGAGGAAAGCAAGGCCTGTGTAGGGTGCACGAAGCTGTCCATTCAGCCACTTCCAGTTTCAGAGGTGGTGGAGAGTGTCTCTCACACGCTGGTCCTGGCTAGGGACACATGCTGAGCCTCTCCGACAGGGACCTGCAAGGCTCGGGGACTCTCTGGCCACTCAGCGATGATGGCCCACACACCTGTGCAGAACATTGGTCTTCATGTCGTACTGTTTCCAAATGAATCCTTTCAGCTTCTGAGGAACAGACAGCCATGATGCAAACATTCTTCCCAGCCCTCAAAGTTCTGCCTGAGACTTTAATATACCCAAGATTTTGGGGTCAGCCAGGTTATAATAGCAGTTTTCCTCAAGGTGTGATGGTGCCCACCTGTAATCCCAGCACTCTGATGTTTATGAGAATGTCCCATTTAATTAGTTTTCTTTTACAAATTTTCAACCAGGTGTGGCAGAGCACGTCTGTAATCCCAGCACTTAGGAGGCTGAAGCAGGAGGATCTTTGCGAGTTCAAGACCAGCCTGGGCTACAAAGTGAGCTCAAGGCCAGCCTCAACTGCATAGCGAGACCCTGTCTCAAAAAGACAAAAAAAATAATTTTTTTTTCAACCCTGGAGGTTGGTAAACACCATTTGGCTGAGTTCCTGGGTAACCAGAAGCACATGACGATTCACTGCATTTTAGATGCTGCTACCAAAAACCTGCACATCTTTTCATAACGGTTACAACCTAGTCATTTCCCTTGGAATTATTTTGTTCTGTTACAAACTGTACTTAATATTTCTTGGTTTTATACAACCTTCCTATTTCCTTATGTGGTTTTCATTCTTCTCGTCCACCTCTCCTCGCCTGCCATTCTAGTCTGTCTCTGGCTGGCTTCACTTCCATTCCCAGATCTGCACATGTATTGTTGAATTCTGCCTGTTTGATAAACAGCAGTATAAAGAAGAAACATTGAGACAATATTTAAAGTGAACTTGCTTAGTAAATGCCTTTATTACCTCACCGGGAAAGAACAGTACAGACACTGGGAGCCCAATTAAGACAGCTGAGAATTCTAGAAATTAGAGTAGAATTTCCTGCCTTGTGCAGCTGGCCTCAGGCTATATAAGACCAGTAGTTTTTGTTTGTTTTTGCTGGGGATCGAACCCAAGGCCTTTGCATTTTGTTTATTTTTTATTTTGAGACAGGGTCTTGCTAAGTCGCTAAGTTGCCCAGACTGAGCTGAAATTTGCAATCCTCCTGCCTCAGCCTCCTGGGTGCTGAGTCACAGGTGTGCCTTCTGCATCCAGCTAAACCAGCAGCATTTTCACAAGATCCTCTTTTCTCCACTCTCCTAGAATTAAGTCTGATATTCTGCAGCTTTGTTCTGTGCAGTCCAGGAGCTAAGAATGATGAAGCTGTCTAGTTTTGAAGGTTTTCTTTTCAGTCACTTAGTAAGAAGCCCTGATGTGAGAATGTGGAGCTTTTGCAGCCGGCAAGGCCCTGTTTCAGGAGACACAGATTCTGTGCATCTTGTGTCACCTTGGAGGTTGAGGCCGCCTGCTCCTCTTGCTAGGGCCGCCAGCCACCCTAGCTTGCCATCCTTATGATGCAGCTGACACTCTGGGACCTCAGGAACCCCGATACCTCCTTGGCTGTTTTTGCAGTGTCTGCCAAAAGCCCCTCACTAGTGGGGGCTCTGCCTGAGGTCTGTGAGCACCTTTTAGGCCACTTGGCCTCAGGAAGTAGTGGGACTACCCTGGCCCTGACCCCATCTCTGGGTCTGCATGTAGGTGACTCTCACTATGGGGTGTCAGCCTGGAGGCAGATTGGAGGATGCTGGGGCTCAAGCCCCCAGGAAGGAACCTGTCCCTGGAGAGACCCCCACCTGCAGCAAAGGTCTCAGATGCCTCTCCACTGCCACCTACCTCCTGGTACCGAAGGTGAGGCTAGACTCCTGCCAGGATGGGCAGGGGGCCCCTAGACCCCACCCCAGGGCAGGACCCCATGCCAGGCTGCACTCACCTGAGGGAGCCCAGACGACTGCCGGTCAACTTCAGCTGGCTCAGGTTCGGCAGGTGCACCCCTGAGGCACAGGAGGAGGGGTTGGCTAGGCCCTGGGACACCCACTTCCCTGCCTCTTCCTCTGGGCAGAAGCCCCTCTCCATGTCATCCAGGGACTGGCAGGCACCAGAGGGGCCACTCCTGGGGCCCTAAGCATCACTGAGGGCTTCCTCCCTCCCACACCCTGCCAGATGGAGAAGGTGCACTGTTCAGGCAAGTGGCACTGGGCCACCCCTGCAAGACCACAGGGCCACCTGAGTGATCTCCAGGACCCAGCTTAGGGAACAGAGCCAGGCTAATGAGGGTGGAGTTGGCCTGAATGGCCCCCTGCCTGCCCACAGGTGCCCAGGCACCCCTGCCATGGTCTGCAGTCTGTGCCAACATGCAGCAATGGGACGGATTGTGGGGGTGCGCGGCCCCAGTCCTGGTAGGACCAGGCAGCATGGAGAGAAGGGTACAAGGTGGGCCGTGGGTCTGGTGGGCAGGGTGAGGGAGCATGCAGGGGACTGTGTGAACCATCAAGAACTTGAGGATCCGTTGCAAAACAGAAAACAAGACCAATCACATTCGGACACGTTTAACCCCACAGGTAATCAGAGAAACGCAAACAGAGCCCACAACAATCCAGGACAGCTAGACTCTTTCCTGTTAGGATGGCTGGTGTTATCTGAATAACATCTGTGGCATAAGAGCCAAGTATCAGTGTCACTTCCTAACCAAGGTCATGGTACTATGTGTATGTAAGAGGATGTCCCTGGCTTATAAGAAGCATGCCAAAGCCGGGCATGGTGGCACACACCTGTAATCCCAGCACTCAGGAGTCTGAGGCAGGAGGATCGCCATGAGTCTGAGGGCAGCCTGGACTGCAGAGCAAGACTCTGATCCTGAGAAATGAAGGAAGGAAGGAAAGAAGGAAGGAAGGAAGGAAAGAAGGAAGAAATACAGACAGACAGACAGACGAGAAAGGAAAAAGCATGCCTAGTACTGATGGGGATCACATTGGAGACTCTCAAAAAGATTAGAAAAATTAGCTGCCTGCTTATGTGTGTGCGTGCGTGTGTGTGTGTGTGTGTGTGTGTGTGTGTGTGTGTGTGTATGCATATGTGCATCCATACAAGATGGGGAGAAAGATAAAGCCTATGCAAGCAGCACTTGTGGATAGAGTGGTCTCTGGGAAGGGTTTATGGGGGTTCTTTGCACCGATCCTGCAATGCCTGGGTAAATTTGAAGTTGTTTCAAGATAAACCTTGGGGTCCTCTGACTCCACCTTACTGGACACTGTTTCAACCTTTGCTACTCTGATGTGGGTGTGCCCTCTGGAGGGCAGCTTAGAAACATGGACCATGTGCTCATCCTCTGGCTATTCCCAGCAGGCACAATCTCAGTTCTGGGTTGAGCCTGTGGAAAGGAATCTGGGGCAGGGCAGCCAGGAAGCTCTCACCAAAGTTCCCCAGGCTGTGCTCGCGGGTGTCCACACACATCTCCAGCACCTGCACGCTCCGGAGGTCATCCACCTGGGCCAGGGCCTGCTACAGAGATCAGTGGGTGTCACTCTCTAGCCCTGGCTTCTCCCGTGCCCCTGGCTGTGGGACTCGCAGGTGGCTCTGGGGTGGGGGACAGTATTCTCTGCATCTCCTGCTTTATCTGTGTGGGCCTTGGCCCACAGCTGGTAGTACGCAAAGGGATACTATCTGAGCAGAGGCTGGAACTGCTGGGTGGGTGTTGCTGCCAGAGAAGGGACTGTCCTTGGGCTGCTGGCCTCCAGATGAGGCCTTTGCCTGAAGGCCACAGCCTACCCCAGACCTGTGCACCACAAGCACACATGCATCTGTCAGCCTCAGGGGTGCTCCTGCTCTCAGCTGTCCCAGGCCTCCTGGTTGATGCTCTCCCTGCGTGTGTGAAATGCAAGTGTGACCTCCCAGATGCTGGACCCCCTGCCCAGGGTCAGTGGGCACCTTGGAAGGGGTGTGATGGGCCAGGTGGATCATTCAGAGGGAGGACCCAGGTGGTTCCTGTACCCACAGGGTCCTTTCTTCTCCCCAGGTGGCCCACGATGGGCGGCAGGCTATGGGTACGGGAAGCTGCTGCTTCTGTGGTGTGGCTGGGAGATCTTCTGGGCCTCAGGCCAGGGTGAACTCTGAGGTCCCAAAGCAGATTTGCGGAAACCTCTGCCTATGTCAGATGCAGTCAAGCCTCAGGTAAGGCCCCTGGTTGCCCACTCCCTCCCTACGTGGAGCCCCTGCCCCTCAGTACCCTGTAGTCTGGGTATGCACTGCCCCTGCCTCTGCTTCCAGGACAGTGGCCTTGGCAATACTTTGGGACCCAGCCCGACTCAGCCCTGTCTGTGACCATGCTTGGAGATATTTGCATCACCTGGTTGCTGGTGCTTTGGGGCCTGGTAAGAGCCTCAAAGGGGAGGTGGAGGGCACCCAATTGTGCGGCTGTGCTGAGGGCAGCTTCAGATCTGCAAAAAGGTCCTGGGAAGTCTCCCTATGCAGGCTCTCACACTTACCAGGTGGGCAGGGGAGAGGGGCTCTTCCACCCGCCGCTCCCTGTGGCTATCCTGGGGCCTGTCCAGGCCCTTGCTCTGCGGGCAGGGATTGTGCCGGCCCTGCCAGCTCAGCTCCCGCACCTGGACACTGGCTGAGTGTGGCCGAGGCCCTGGGCGTCCATCCCTGGCTGGCTCCATCCACGCACAACCTGCCGGGAGGGCGGAGGGCAGGCCCTGCCTGCTGCTGCTGCTGCTGACCTCTGGAGGGCCCCAGCTGCCTGAACCTCCCAGTGCCTCCCGCCTCCCGTTTCTGCTTCCTTCCCTTCAGTGCAATACGATGAGTGCCAGCTCCCCACTCCCCAATGGGGCCCAAAGGCTGTGAGCCTGGGTGTGCTAGACCAGCTGCCCATGATAATCAGCAGCCGCTGACAGGCACCCAGGCTGGGGCTCTTCTCCACGAGATGCACTGTATGCCTGTGCCCGGGACCAGGGTCTTGGGCACCCCCCACCCACTCCTGTGTTGGTGAAGTCCTCACCCACAGTCAGCTGCCTTCCACTGTGGGTCAAACATCCGGGCATGGGGGCAGCATGTGTCCACAGGTGACCTCTGGGAGACAGGGATTGAGTTAGGCTTCCGGTCAGGTCACTGTGCCCAGGGGCACCAGCACTGAAAAGTGAGCAGGTACAGAGGAGAGGTGGGGTGGGGCCTGGCCCTGAGCTCCCTGTGATGACTGAGCTGAGGGATTTGCCAGCCGAGGAGGAAGAAGACAGTCAGGGGGTGACCCAGAGGCCCCCCTGGGTGCAAATGAGGACCTGGTCCTCACCCAGACCCCATTCCCTCTCTTCCTGAAAGGGCTGCAGTGCGGCTCTGGATGTCTCCCGTCCACCAACACCTCCTGCACGCTGTCCCCCCTGTGCCCAGCCTCCAGGAGTGGCCTCACACGCCCCTGCTCACCTGCTCCAGGCTCCTCAACACAGGGGCCCGTGCCCAGCCCTAGACCAACACAGGGTCTTGGCCAGGCCAGAGCTCAGCCCCGGAGGCTCAGCATTTCCTCTCCCTCTGCCCCGAAGGCTCAGCATTTCCTCTCCCTCTGCCCCGAAGGCTCAGCATCTCCCCTTCCTTTGGCTGACCTCTTACTCCTCCATCCCTACACACCCTTCCCAGATCTATTTCTGTGATCGGGCTGGCCCTGTGTTACAGGGCAGGGAATGAGGAAGGCAGGGAAATATGCCTGCGAAGGAATAGGTGAATGTGGTGGGCCACCTGTTTCATTTATTAAAATGATTCATGCTCTCCCTCAGGTCTGCAGCCCCAGGGTCAAAGATGTGGTCCGCAGGGCTGTGGCAGAGCAGTGGGAGGCACAAGGTGTCCAGGCTCTGGGCCTCAGGGGCCCAGCCTACAAAATGAGCAACAAGTCAAAGCCCACGGAAGTCTCAGGGACTTTCCGCCAGCACCTCCGCCACTGCCTGCTTTCCCCCACTGGAGCAAGCCCTGCCAGGCAGGAGGACACTCCACTGCGGCCCCGGGGCCCCCATCCTTGGAGGTCTGTGCCCAAGGGCAGCTGGTCAGGTGCTGCCACAGCTAGGCCTGCGGGTCTGGGCGCTACAACCTTGGTATCCAAGGTCAGTGATGGTGGCTGCAGGCTCAAAGCCCCCATCAGCTCCAAACCAGACCCCAAACTCCTGCTCTGGCTGGAGTCTGCCATAGCCCCACGTATGCTGTTGCTCTGAAAGCCTCCAACCCCCCAAGTTGGAACCCGGGGGCCTCTCAGTCTCCACACCCCAGGGTGGGATCAGCCTCTGGCTCATCAGCTTCCTTCCTTCTCCGCTGACGGCGGGGCTTGGAGCCCCCGTTGGTCCCTGCCTCTGTGACCTCCAGGGTAGGTCTTGAGGTTCTTCTGGTCCTGACGGGGGTCTCCTCCAAGCAGGGCCAAGGGAGGTGAGCAGCTTAGCCAGGCCCCACCTTTGACAACTGGGCGGTGGCTGGGCACTGCGACGTGGCCAGTCTACGTCCGACTCTCACCTGCAGGCTGGGCTCGAGTGCCCCAGCCCTGGGCCCCTCTGCTGAGGGTGCTCTCTCCACTCCGGGCTGTTCTTCCGGCCGCGGGTCCGGGCGCCAGGGCAACGGGGGCGGGACCTTATTTGAATACCCAAACATTCTCAAGCAGAGGGCACCCGGGCTCCGGGTCTGAGCCCCGCCCCCTAGCAACGGTTGCCGGGGCACGCGTCCCGGGAGTGGCGCTGCGATCCCAACGCACCTTCTAGGAGGGCGGGTTGCTCCGCGGCTGCCTGCGGCACAAACTCTGAGCCGAGGACCCCTGGACGCCCAGCGGGCTCTCGGTATCCGCCTCCTGGCCGCGTCTACGCGAGCCGGGCTCAGATTCGGGACCGCACGCGGACGGGCGCTGCAGTCCCGCCGAGGCCTCCCGGTTACACTTCTCGGTTTTCTAAAAGGATGTACTTGAAAAAAAAAAATAAAAGGATGTACTGGGACATTTTTTTAAATTTCAAAAAAATGCTAAAAACTCTATAGAGGGAGCATCTGTGCTTGGGCGCGGGGCAGACTTCACTTTGCTCCCCGTGGAGATTTTTGGGCTGGACTTGCGGGGTGCACTGGGAATTGCAGCAGGAATGGAACCTGGGGTGTTCTGCCCAAGCTGGGCTTCGGACACCCCTGAAAACCAAGGGGCGTCCGCGGTGTTGGCTGTCCCGCCACACTGAGCTTCCCGCCCTCTGTGCTCTTGGGCTTCCGGGGCGCTGGCGCGGCTGGCTGCTCCCAAGCGTGTCCCGCGACCCAGGCGAGGCCCACCCGTTCCCTGAGGAAGCCTGGGTCCCTCCGCATCCCGGAACTTGGGTCCACCCTTAGCGCCACGCCAGGAAGCAGCGCCTGACTGACGTGCCGCTCGGCCAACCGCAGTAGGGCGTGGCCGGACGGCCCGGGGGCGGGGCTCGTCAAAGCGCCGCCAATGGTAGGTCGTGCCGGGCTGACGGACAGGCTCGGGCGGACCTGGGCGGGGCGAGCACGGGGCCGACCGAGTCCCCGCCGCCCGCGCCCCGAGCCCGCAT